AAAAGAAAGTCATCAAGATATATTATACTCAAACTTGCCAAAACCAAAGATAAAGAGAGAATTTTAAGAGTGGCTAGGGATAAACGAAAAGTCATCTACAAAGGAGAGTCAGTAAGAATAAGCTTGGACTACTCAGCAGAAACCATGCAGGCAAGAAGGCAATGGGATGACATATATAAAGCCCTGAAGGAAAAAAAACTACCAGCCAAGAATTATATATCCAGCAAAACTGTCTCTCAAATATGATGGCGAAATTAGGGCATTTCCAGATAACCAGAAGTTTAGGGAATTTGCAAAAACCAAACCAAAATTACAAGAAATGTTAATTTTTTCTTCCACTGAAAATCACAATTCTTTCACAAGAAGTCTGGGCTTTTAAATATTTACTGACAGGCTAATCTACACAACAACTGTTCTATGATTTCAGTGATTACTAGCATCATTTCACAAATGAAGAAACTGAAGCTCAGAGACAGTAACTTGCCCAATCTGATATTTTTCAGAAGTGATAGAGGAGGATTCAAATCAAGGCCTTCTGACTAAAAAGCTCTTGATTTTTCCAGTTTGGTCAGCTTTATTAGCAGTGCACAAGTAATTTTACACTACCCTGCTATTCTCTACAAGCGATAAAACTAACCCTTAACCTACTGATAGTCAAATTTGGGAAAGGATCAGAAATACCCGGAAGGCTTGATAAAGCAGATTGCTGGGTTCCACTCCCAAAATTCTGGATTCAGTAAATCTGAGGTGGGGCTCAAGAATTCTCATTTCTAACAAGTTCCCAGGTAGTGCTGACAATGTTTATCCTGGGACTATGCTTAGCCACTTGACCTAAACTAGAAATTTGCCTTCCATTCACTAGTCAACTCGGAAGAATTCAATTTCAGTTTTAGAAACACACAAACTTTCTATCTCCAAAAGCTTGAAGTTCTGGGAAGAAAACAATCTGGCTAGCATGTACTTTCAACCAAATTCACAATACATATGATATTATTTGGTTGGCACTGAGCTAAGAGAAGTGACTAGCATGCACATTAAACGTCAGCACTCCTCTTGCTGCAGATGGGACTCATTTCCTGGAAAAGTGGACACCAGAAGCAAAACAGCAATGTTAGTCATCTGCTGCCAATAGACAACACATT